GGCGGAAAAGAGAGTTATGTCTGACTGGGCTAGTTGTATTGAAAACAACATTTGTTCCCTTAGCGGCGTCGTAATAAAAGTTCTACAACACTTATGTTTGTTGGTGACAATGCACATGGATTAAATAAAGATTAGTTTTGTATTTATTTAAGTCGGTCCAAAATTTACACCAACCACGATTGTTATCGCACAACGTTTGTCCATCGTGTTCACAAATGTGCACAAGCTAATTGGCAAAATTTGTACCGTCCACACATGATGCACACATCGTGCATGTACCGTGCACGCATTATGCATTTACTGTGCGCACATCGTGACACACCGCATATCGTGTTACGTTGTATTGCCTTCCCTGACGTGGGGAAAAGTGTCGGTGTATAATTTTCTACTGGATATAAAAGAACGGCAGTTCAATGATAAGTGAGTGATTTAATACTGGGACACAAGATGAGTTGTTTGTTGTCGTAGTGTTTCAACGACCATTTCCGGATTTCTTTCGAAACGATACCAAAATTATTTTCAATATGTTGTATATGATGAATGTAGCATAATGACATATATGTTTGTTACGGATTTTTTTTCATTGTGTAAAGGTTTCTATATTTAAGCGTCGTAATTGTTGCTGGAATTTGTTTTTTTTCAAATAAATCTGCATTGTTTATTGTTAATACAATTTGCTTGTGGGCTAAATTATGACATCACAAGTTATGGGTAAATGTGGCGCCATTATGTTCTGTTTTGTGATTGTTTGCAAAAGCAACGCTTGACAAGTCTATGACGAGGTGGGTGCATACGAGTGCCAGTCAAACCTTTCTCTATGTTTAACGGGGCTGTACAGGATTGAAATGTCAATATGTAATAAATACCGATGTGTAACAAAAAAGATTCGTTTATGGCTTTCAACAAAATTTGATCAATGTTCTACCTGATCATTTGTAGACTCTTAGTCCTTGATGACAAATTATAAAACCAGCGAAATGCATAATGTACTCAGCTCGGTGTACATTTAAAATTATTAATGAACTATGCATTGTGGTGAGACGTGTAGAGGAAAAAAATAAACAAATACAATTATGTGCATAAACATTGACTTCAAAATTAGCTTCAAAGATTAGTTTTACTTAACGTGTTTGGCAGTACACAGGTGGGGCCAGGTCTGGTATAAAGTGTCTTTGTATCATTGATTATTGACATGTATACCACCTGTATGTTCACCTGTGGATAATTGTTTTATGTCAGATTCGTATCTGGAAGCTGACAATGCTAAGTATGATATCATATAACAAATAAAGATTTGATCAAACAAAATAACAAAAACATTTGTAGTTTAAGCACATTATCAACATATGTAAAATACTAATTAAAACGACATACAAAACGTAACCTAATTATTGTATCATTTAAAGATAAGCCTACACTACCAATTAGGAATGTGATATGTGACTGAAGGTGTGGTGTATAATAGTAAAAAGTTAACATTTGGTAATTATAAAAATGAAAAGAAACACATATTCATTTCTATATGTTAGAAGTATTTTATAGCTATCTTAAAAATCCATTGACGAAATTCACGTTTGAGTTTATTTACCATGCTACTACGTGTATTTCAAATTATCCAAGCTACCATTTCCATCCTTGTACTCATGAAGTAACCAAAATTTGTGTTTACTGCTTTGAGAGTATTGGGTATCACCATTATTAGGAGCGCTCCACACAGTCAGACACAAACACACATACACATACACACATTATTTCGCCCATTACATTGGTAATATTTACATTTAATATGAAAAATAGAGTACATCCTCCCCTGGCGAGGTGAAATTTGTCGATGTACGATTTTCGACTGGATGAAGAGAACGACAATTTCCATATTGAATAATTCATAAAAACACTGGGACACCAGAGGGTCGTTTGCATTCGTAGTGTGACTACGGACTCGTCTCCATGTTTCATCCGAAACAATACCGCATATACCTGGCGGTTTTCAACGTGTTCTATACTTATATAAGCGAATTAAAGTTTCACAAACTTTCCTTAACGTACATTTCACTAACTAACATGCTGTCTGTAGTTGGTGACAGAATAACTATAGCACTTTTCAAATAGAATTGTAGACCATGAAGTGTGTTGTTACTCGGTAAGGTTGCTACAGTGTACCGGTATTTAATCAATACAGAAGGAAGAGTTATATATGATATAGCCACCAGACTAAATTAATATGTCTCCCTATAGCTAACATATGACGTAATATGAAATACTTTGTACAGAAAGCGAGGTTTAGTTACGGTATCAATGCTGGTCTAAACACTGTATTGGTGTACACACTACTGGTTATACACATCGTCACGTTTGACTGACAATATATCTGGCTGTAGGGAAACTAACGTACTACACCATGCCATGGTATGACCGTCGCGTCATTTTGGAATGATTCCATAACCAATATGTTCAGAAATGCTGAGAACTTTATTTGACATGTATATCACCTATACGAAATTAATTTCATTTTTCGAAGTAATGCCATCCGAGCAACTCCATAGATTAAAGATGACACTTCTTTCGTTTTGTGACATGGAGTGGTATATAAATTACAACAAGCATGTATATACAAAAAAATTAAGATGTCAATCTGTATTTTGGAAAAAAATATAAACTGAATTCTCGTGGAGTAACAGATGAAAAAAGTTACGTCAGGAACTTTTAATTTTACAACTGGGATTTAGTAATATGGTTCTAAACGTTTTGTATGAATTTAAAATCAATGTAACGCATGATATACTGAACAAAAAAAAACCGCACAAAGTTCCCCCCCTGTAGTACACCTCAGCTGTAAGGGAAAAATGGAATATTTGGTCAGGTATTACATCAGGAACGATCTCCCTTCTCAACAATCTACCCTAAAATCAGCCAAGCATGACGATGTCATTGTGTGACTTTGTGAGCTTCTTTAGTCCAAATCACGCGGCGTGATCAAGACTAGCCGGAGTTTTTCAAACAAATAATCTCAACGGATACTCTAAGTTCAGCCACATTAATTTTCCACGTTGGCATTTTGATTTCGCCATTGATTGAAATGCCACGCTTAACGCAAATTAATAGGGGTAGAGCAATTGCAATGTTGATGGATGGTCATAGTCAAACTGCTGCCGCACGGCAGTTTGGTGTTGGCCCGTGTACAATTAACTGTCTCTGTACACGTTTCCGTGCTACTGGGTTAGTTTCCGATCGTCCAAGGAGCGGTCGTCCGCGTGTAACGATCGCACGACAAGACTGGGCGATTCGATTGTCGCACTTGCGCAACAGATGCAATACTGCTGTAGAGACTGCGTCGCATACCTTAGGAACTCATGGCAGACCCATTAGTCCTCAAACTGCCAGGGACCGCTTGCGTGCCGAGAGAATCATTGCACGCCGACAATATGTCGGGCCACCTCTGACACCACGGAGGCGGCAAGTACGTCTTGACTGGATGCGCAGACATAACTGGATAGGTTTGGGGTGCGTCTATGGAGACGTGTGATGTTCACCGACGAGTCGAGATTCTGTCTGTATCGCTCAGACGGAAGAAAAAGGGTATATCGCAGACGCGGTGAGCGTTTCGCCGACGCATGCGTGGTTGAACGCGATATATTCGGTGGGGCTTCTGTAATGGTTTGGGGAGGCATCTCCCATGGAGTAAAATCCCCCTTAGTGGTCCTGGATCAAAACCTCAATGCCGTTCGATACAGAGACCAGATCCTCCAACCACATGTCCTTCCACTTCTCAGACGTCATAACCTAATTTTCCAGTCAATGCTCGACCGCATGTTGCCTGAGTATGTCGTGATTTTCTCACGGCAAACAACGTTCAGCCTCTGGAATGGCCCCTTATAGCCCCGACATGTTTCCCATTGAGCATCTGTGGGATGAGCTGGACAGGCGTATTAGGAAACGTCA